CTTTGGTACTAAGGGAGAGGCCAATACTTTCATCGGCACCAGTTATTATATGGCACCTGAACGTATCACCGGCCAGTCCTATACTATTACATCGGATGTTTGGTCAACAGGAGTTACCCTTCTCGAGGTGGCGCAGCATCGTTTCCCATTCCCAGCAGACGGCACAGAAATGCAACCGCGGGCTGGTCTCATAGATTTACTCACATACATCGTAAGGCAGAACGTGCCCAAACTGAAGGACGAACCTGAAATGGACGTGTATTGGAGTGACAACTTCAAATATTTCATCGAGTGCTGGTAAGTCTCATAACCCCCACCCTTCAGGAGCATGTGCTAATATTTTCCAAGTTTGGAAAAACAACCTAACAGACGAGCCAGTCCTTGGAAGATGATGGAGCACCCATGGATGGTTGAAATGCGCTCCAAGCGTGTCAACATGGTGAAATATCTCTCTTTTGTCTGGGGTTGGGATGAACAACCTAAGGACTCTTAGCAAGATACACAACAAGCTCAAGCTTCGGAGCAGCAGAATGCTAAAGCACTCAAATAGCACAGAATGTCAAAGAATGGAAGGAGATCAGGACGGTAGAAGTTCTCGCAAAAGCAGACAAATTGGTGTAGCAGGGCTTGGAAGAAGCAAATCGAAGAAATGGCCATGCAGCATGAACGCTTTACACAATGCCATGGACGAACCAGAAAAGGCCATGTTTCTCGTCAGTCATTTCCACTGCGCCCATAGTGACGTGAACACGGCTGGGCCTTGGTTGTGAGCATCTCTCATTAATACATACATCACTGATGTTTTATGGTCAAAGTGATAGGCTCAAGAATGACAGCGGACAACAACCCGACAAGCCTGCAGTAGGTCGCATCAGAAGACCCTCTTGTGGGATTACCTAGTCCTCAGTAGCAGTGTGTGGTTTGAGGATTGGTGCGATTGTCCCAGCAATCAAGCCGAGGGCTGACAGAATATAGCGAGCTCTGGAATAGATAGATGTCGTATCTGGCACCCAAGCGCCTCATTTTTATTGCATCCCCTCCTTCAGTAGATGGGTATCAAATTCCTGATTATCCTCTGCATTTTATAGTTCTAGGTCCAACATCTGCACTCTAAGTGTCCCTTCCAACGGTCTCGGTATCTTCGGGGGGGTCGCCCATGAGCTCACGTAACGCAATAGTTGCGTATGCACTGCGTCCAAGCTGAAACTTAACTACCACCGCAACCTTTGTAGGCTCCTGCTCCTCAGAAGAAGCGTCAGGGGCAGAGACCTCATTTGCTGCCTCTGCTTGGACATCTGCCATCTCAACTTCTGCAGAAGTGGACGTACCATTCTCAACCTTCGTTTTCTTGGCTGTCGAGTCGGAGTCGGCGTCCTCACGAGAGCGCTTCCTGCTAGGGCCCTTCGAAGCTTTGATGTTGTCCAAGTCAGTTGGGTGCATTTGCTCTGCATCATCCGAGTAGGCACGGACCTCAACGGAGGGCGTAGCGAGGAATCGGTTCATGATTTTGCGGTACCGGCCGGGCAGACTAAACTCGCGGCGCATGCGGCGCATTTTGTAGGGGTCAAGGTTACCATTCTCGTCGCGGCCCATAAAATCCTTGTAGAATTCTCCAATATCGTTCTCAGGATAAACGACGTCGTAGCCTGGTGTTGGCAGCACAATATCGAATATGGTATAGGTACCACTGGCGGCTTCTTCAGCGGTAAGGGGACGAGCGCGAACGGGAGCATCTTCGTCACCTTCAACAGGGTTGATAATGTCATCACCGTCTTGGTCTTGGCCGCTGACAAGAGGCGTGCTCTCCGTCGGTGCGATAATGAGATCGCCAGCAATCACTTTCTCGCCGTGAAGCTCCCAGCGGCGACTGGCGGCGTGGTTCCAGATGTAGGACTGATAGGCATGAAGATACATGGAGCGCAAGCCACGAGTAATGTGAACCAGAGAACCAATGAAATCACGTCGAGACTGGGCGCCCTGCCGGTTTAGGTGTCTGAAGATGCTATTCTCGGCAGAGAATCGACGAGGCATGAGCTTGATAGCTCGATCGACATCTTTGTCTGTAAGGAAGAGCATGCAGGCCTGGTTTCGCAGATACTCGTCTCTCTTGGAGGGTTCGTCAGGGATCTCGCCTCTTTCAGCCTTCTGCGCGATCTTGTCATCGTAATGGAGTAGTGACTTGACTGCCTCCTCGTACTTGTCACCGAGGATGAGTTGCCCAACCTGGTGTGTGCCAACTTCGTGGGTTCCGAAGCGCTGGTGGCCGAAATAGTTGATCCAGCCGTGTTCATTCATATGATTCAGAGCTGAATCAACATTCTTCTTCAACATTTCTACCCGCTGGGCAATGGGCGTGTCGTTTGACTCGCCAACTATTTGGCAACTCTTGATCGCAATAACGAATTCATTGCCAAGAAGCTGCCCGAGATAAATTGGCTTGTCCTTATAGTCGTAATCTCCCGTGGAAACACCCCAAATCCTCCCATTGATACCAGCGAGGTTTCGTGGTCGCATGTATCGCACCGAGCATCGTTGCACTGTAGAAGCTCTGCGGTCTTTGGTACCGGCGTATCCGATGACCTGGGGCTTGACCTTGAGGAACCGAGCGATCTGGTTCACGGCGTCCATGGTGTCGCGGTTCTCCTTGAACAGAGTAAAATGCAGGTATTCACCAGCAGGCTTTTCGTCACGGCCACCACCGCGACCCCCACGGCCGCGCTTCTTGCTGTTGGCTTTTCGTGGCGGGATGAGAGTTGCGACAATAGCACCTTCGTCAGTTGTGTTGGTATCTATCCGAGACTTGAAGATGCGGCGAATCTCTTGGTGAACTTGACCACGCTTTGCCCTGTCGTCCATGGGCTCCGATGTAACAGACTTCTTCTTCTCGTGGTCGGTGCCGTGACCAGATTGATAAACTCCAATGAGCTCCTGAGCGAATCGCTGATCGGTCAGACCTTCAAGAATGGTGGCATCCTCGGGCGAGACTTCGTTGACCGCCTCAGGTTGAGGTGCGGACTTGGTTTCAGTAGCGGTCTCGCTGGATGGTTGCTTCATGACATCTTTCGCAGGCTCCTCTGTTTTTGGTTCCTGGGCGGTAGACTCGCCGTTGGACTCTTTCTTCACCCCAATTACCTGCGAAAAGTTAGTGGGTGCGCTAGGAAAGTCATAGAGCCCGTTTTTGCTTACTGGTGCTTCTTCATCTGCAAGCCCGACTTGTTGTAGGTGTAGAACTGTACCGTCTTCTTTGATCTCATTGACTTGAAAGTCCGAGAATCTGTATTGCGTTAGTCTCTTAATTGCTGACATGACCATGATTTCAGTGTTGACCTTGTACGCATTTCACCAGTCCATGGTGTCGCGAGTGGTGTCACGCGCTGGCTAATTCCAATGGATCGTGTATAAGTGGCAGTACCGCGCGCCGTATGATGAGATTGCTCCGCCATTACAAGTAATGCGACCGGAATCTAGCCGCGTATCAATTCTGGCGAAAGCTTGCGACAGATGTGTTTATTTCGCCTTGATGGTTAAAACTACTGGTGGGGCACCTTTGCGATCTGTAATTTTTTCCCGGCAGTATTTCGTCGTTGTTTGAAATTAGAAGGCGGTGAATTTATCTGGCTAACCAGAATATGGTACGGCGCTTCAAAAGGCAGGCGGTCGGAGTTATGTGTTTAACTCGAGAAGAGGACAGGATCTTGTAGAAATCTGGTTGGTTATCAAGCCTATGAAAAGTCTATTAGGAGAGAACAGCAGTTACAGAAGCACGTGCCAGAGAGATATCATGACTCTTCCTGGTTCTGTTAAGTTAGCTTGATTTCATCATCATTATCTTGATTTTTGGGATCAAGATCAGCTAACATGGCGTGGCAAGAGGAGGTAAGTAACCTAAAGACCTCTATCCTAAGCGACAAAAAGGCTTAAGTGAATTTAGTATAGACTTAATAGGCCTTTAGACTAATTATTTTATATACCTCAGTTTAAGGTTAGAAGTTTTCTTGCTCTCTGAGGGGCGGAACTTGTATGTTAGATAGAATTCTGTCCCTCAATCGCCTACTAAGTTTCGAGGGACACAACTTTCACTACCTAATCGAATGGAAGTTCTTTTTATCCTCGTCAAATCTTCCAGACTGCATCGCAGCCGTACTGAAGGACGTGCACTGCAGTAGTCTCAAGGTAGCTATGGTTTCCTTTAGAGAATATGGAGTAATTATAACGATAAGACTTAAAGTGTTGCAGTTGATATCTATAACACGAGAGCATTATGAACCAGGCTGATAAGCGACAATAGTATTGATTTATGCTGGGAGTTGATAAATCATAGGCGAGCTTGCTCAGGGCAGACAGTTCAGGTGGGATGATGCACCCCGGCAATAGACAGGGACTTTTACTTGTACTGCATCCTGATTGCCGTCTTGGAAGAGCGGGCAATCACACTAACAAACCATGTCTCCTCAGCCTCTCAGGAACCCCTCTCTTGTACGAGGCACTATATAGACGGCTGGTGAGTTGCCCGCATGACAAGTTCAACTAACCTTTTCTCTCTGCATTTATCTAGCTACTGTGACTTATACCTACCTACCTTACTGTAAGACCTCCTCGGCTGATCGTTATTGGTCTATTGCTAGCTGCAAGGATCGTTTGTGCACACGACAAGGCGTGATCCAACCTCCCCTCCTCCAAATTTCGGCCACTTTTAAAATTTCCCTTAGTTATTATCGAGGGGAAGAGTGAGGAGTAGCGTCGATTCATCAACACACTCTTTGCTGCTTTTTGATATTTTTGTTGTTCCAGATTCTCCATTCTCCTTGAGTTCTGTTCCAATCACTCCTCGCTTCTACGGTTGACTGCATCGGGCCCGCAATTGACATGTCAATCATGAGCCGTAAAGACAAAGGTCGGGAAAGACTCTGTCGTACGCAGCTTCGAGAGATCATCTGTTCTGTCTGTCATCATAACGCAAGTGCAACTGAAGACTGACCCAAGAGCAATCCGCAATCAAGATGCCAGTAATAAGAAGCGGCTCAACACGGGACATTTACAAGGTAAGGACGAACGGATATCCATTTTTATATCGGCGATCACAAACAATTACTACTACCTCATATGGAATATTTATTGCGCCCAATTCGCATCATCTTGTGGCAATTTTTGGCCATATTATTGAACGACTCCCCATTCCAAAACGCTGATTCCATTGCTTGCAGGCACCCTTGTCTGCTGTCCTTCGTCGCCACGGCCGTGAGCGTCGTGAAGGCTGGAGTCAAGGTGAAGATCCGACTGACTTCATGCCTCCCCACCAAGGTGAGCTGACCTGGACACTGTTCTATGGTGCGGATCTACTCACAACACGTAGACGAAGAGCCCAGCCATGAGCCTGCTGAATCCTCAAAAGGGAAACAACCTGAGCCTCAGCGTCTCCCATCTAGAACTGGTTACGATGCAGCTGTGCTTCTTGACTTGTGCGACACTATTCGCAGCAGCCTGCACGAGGGACGTCCCGAGGACAGGTGGGAAGAAGCCATGGGCTTTCTCGCTGCGCTGCTAAGAGACGAGGAGCATTACAACCGCGCAATAGAGTTCGAGACTATACGCGACACGCACCTTGACAAGCTTATATCGGATATTATGGACCCCAAATATCGCCACCCAAGAGTACCTATTAGATTTTCAAAAGATGTTGAAAGAGCAGAGACCCTAGAACGGAAATGGGTTGAGAGGTTTCGAGGTCCCTACTTCAATATGGAGCAAAACCGCTATCGGGATCTCCCCAAGACGGGACGGCTCAGGGATGTGACTCTGAACCCCAATGCAGACAACCCAGAGGAACGTTGGCAAGCCAAAGAAGGTAAGACCTTGTCAGAGCTGGAGGGTAATCTGGAAATCGAACCTGGGCAGTAAGAAGACCCGAACCCCTATAACACTTAAAACTTTTGATAGTTACTCACGCTTAAGATTTAGTTGGTGGCTTAACTTGGCTTGCGCGCATCGGGATGGTATTGTTGGTAGTGCTCGCGAGAAACCTACCAAGGGCAAATATGGAGTTGCCGCATTGCCGTTGCTCACAGGGCAAGAAAAAATTGATGAAGGGGAGGGAACCCTGAAATATGTCAGGCAGGGAAGAATTACTGACATACATGTTTCGCTCATATCTCAAGTGGGAGCCACCTTTCGCATCCTGCGAGGCCATCACCTCAGAAGCCCCTATGCACCAAAAGTCGGTATACGTTATGATGGTTTGTGGGTTCTCTTTGCCTTTCCCACGGCTGCTACTCGCTAATAGGGCGCTAGGTACACGATACGCCGATATAGTCAATGGTTTAACGAAGTCAGCGACCGGCACCATATGATGCTTACTTTGGAAAGAGTTGAGGATCAGAAACCAATAGAGGATATCTTGCATATACCCCGTCCATCCGAGATGGACGACTGGGAGCTCTATGAGAAATATGAGGGCGAGGCGATCAAAAAGCACAAGGGAAATAAGGCCCTTCTCGACTAGAAGTTAGAAATGGCACAAGAGAAAGTCGACCGGGAAGAGTATCAGAGGTCTCATGACTTCCGAACTCGTTAGGTTATCAGTTCAAGAAAGCAGGACTTAATTGATATGAGGAGAAGCATGATATGATGGGACGTATGGCTAGGCTGCATCGATTGGCTTGCAAGACTAGTACATAGCATTAATGGTAACGTTTAATTAGAGACCACCGACATGGTCAGTTCTATTATTGCCAAGTTTGGAAGTCTTGACACACATGTATATGACTTGGTTGGGTGCCTCAACTGAGGGAGGGGTACTGCGTCACGACACAATAGGAAATCTTCAAGGGTTCACCTATGGCGGGGCATCCAATGTCATACAACCCACCGCCGCCACAGCTGTTGCTCCTTGTTCCTCTTACATGACAACCTCACAGACAACATGGGCAAAAACGACAAGAAAGGTGCTGATAAGGGAGGCAAGGGCAAGGCAGATAAGGGCAAAGATGCAAAGGACTCTGGCGGCAAATCCAAAGGTGCCCAGAGCATCAACGTCCGTCACATCTTGGTGAGTTCCACACAAGCACTCACCAACTGAAATACTGACAGAGGGGTGCATAGTGCGAGAAACACGCCAAGAAGGAGGAGGCTCTAGCAAAGTTGAACGACGGCGTCAAGTTCGATGAGGTCGCAAGGGAGTACTCAGAAGACAAGGCCAGACAAGGTGGTTCGCTGGGTTGGAAGACCAAGGGTAGCTTGGACCCCAAGTTTGAAGAGGTGGCTTTTGCTCTTGAGCCCAGCACAACGGCCAGTCCAAAATTTGTAGAGTGCAAGACGGAGTTTGGATATCATATAATTATGGTAAGTCTACAGTTTCTTAGACAAAGGTTGACCTGAGATTAACATTATGCCAGGTTGAGGGACGAAAGTAGTTGGAGCATAGACACGTTAAACATGCATGACAATTACAACAAAAACACATGAGACAAGTTGAGGATCTAATTTGATGCCCAATTTTTTTTATTCCTCTCAAATGCAATATGGCCGTGAGATACGAGGCCTAAACCGTTTTAGATGCCAACCGAAGTGGCTAGAGTACAAGCGAAAAGTCGTGTCGAGCGGTCTCGAAATCAAGTCAAGTCCGCACCTCTAATCCTCTCCCTTCACATCCTACTCCGTTTAGAAGCCCTTACTGCTCGGTCTGGAAGTAGTTGAGGAGGATAGATCGCTCCTGAGACTCCTCACCCCAGTCCTTGACGACGACGCAAGAGCAGTTGACAACCTTGCGGGCGTTACCCTCACGGTCAAGAACGCCTATAGATATTCGTTAGTAAACCCATCCAGACTGAAATAGATCATCTCGTTGGCAAAACGTACAGAGACCGGCCCACTCGCCGAGCTGCTTTCCGTCGGGGATCTGAATCAAGGGGATGTTGTGCTCATTGCAAAGAGCGACAACAAGCTTCTTGTAGGCCTCCTCCTCGCAGTTCTCGTTCAAGACACACATGTGTGCCTGTCGGCGATCGAGGGCCTTGGAAGCCTCACGGAGACCACGGGCAAGACCGTCGTGCATGAGAGAGAGCTTCAGGACACCCTTGAGAGCGTCGAGAATGGACATCTGGCCCTTGGGGGCATCGCCGGAAACCTCAACAACATCGGCGACCTCGGGGGTGTTGTCTTCTACGTCCGACTGTCACGAGAAAATGTTAGCCAACATTTTTCGATTTTTGGTGCTCCCCCCACCATCGCGAATTGACGACCGTCCAAGGTTGCATTTGCCAGCCTGAACAGCGCAATTGACGACGAGAGGCGGCAAGACATCAAAAACTCACCATCTTGGATAATTTTTTCTTGTCGGGCGATCCTCGAAGATTTCTATGTGTATCAAGGAAAAGTTGGAAGGGGGGGGTAGAGTCGTGATCTGGGAAATGTCTTCGTTTAGTTCCACGTTGATTTGCCGAAATCTAAACGACCGAGTGCGTAGACCCTTAGGGCAAGTGCACGGACCCACCCATCCACCCACCACTCAATTTTCTTTTCTGTCGTCGCGTTCCTCTGCTTTGTAGTCTTCATCAACCGACCAAGTCAATCTTCGAGGTATGTATAGCACGAAACTGGCTCCCAGCGATTCGAATCCACAAGGATGATGCTTTTCACCATGGCAAGGGAGAGCAATCGAGGGCGTCGTTTCCCGTGAGCCGATCTTTCAACAATGGCCGGGTTATATTCACGGCTGGCGGCAGTTCCTCGATACGCTTCTCCTCTTCAGCAATGGGCGGCAGAACCCTCGCGATCGATCGTTGAGGGCACTCTCCTCGCTCATGAGCCTTGGAAAGGCTAACAACGATATTTTATGGCAGATACCTCATTTCCCGTCCCGACTTGAGAATCTCCTCAAAACACCGCCAAAATGGTCCGCACTTCCGTCCTCCACGATGCGCTTAACGCCATCAACAACGCCGAGAAGGCTGGCAAGCGCCAGGTCCTGATCCGACCTTCTTCTAAGGTCATCATCAAGTTCCTTCAGGTCATGCAGCGCCACGGTATGTCACGGGAAATTTCTTCTTTTTCTCTCTCTTTTCATTCTTTTGGGTCTCCACTAGTCGACATGACAACATTTGGCAATGGTTCTTCTTCACCATGATCCAACTACCATGAGTCGTCGACAACTTCCCCGATCTCCTTATTCGGCATGATAACTAGGGCGACGGTCGATACTGCACCACGATCCAGCCCCTATAAGTTGCCGATAGATTCAAACTCGGAGATCTTACACGTTTTTCGGATTCTTTATACCCATGATGTCTAACGTTTAGTCTCTCGAAACATTACTGACTCGATTATCAGGATACATTGGAGAGTTCGAAGAGGTCGATGACCACCGATCCGGCAAGATCGTTGTCCAGCTCAACGGCCGCCTCAACAAGACTGGTGTCATCTCTCCCCGCTACAACGTCCGCCTCTCCGAGCTCGAGAAGTGGGTTGTCAAGCTGCTCCCTGCCCGTCAGTTCGGCTATGTCATCCTCACCACCTCTGCCGGTATCATGGACCACGAGGAGGCCCGACGCAAGCACGTTTCTGGCAAGATCATTGGCTTCTTCTACTAAATGGGACGGGATACCAATCAAAAAGTGATTTTTTAAAAAACAGAACACGGCATTCTCGGCGTTAAGGCAGGATGATGATGACTATGACCGATGCGATTAATAGCCATGTTGCTTATCGCACACGCGAGCACAAGAATTGAACCTTTACGAGATGCTCAGACTCAAGACTCATTATGAAGTGAAAGTGAAGATGAATGTTCATGCTACTTCCCGACGTTACACCCATCTCGGGTGGTACAATCCGTACATCAGATTGCTTTAGTTGTGATTCGAGTAATCGAACTTGTTGCATCGCAATTTTACAGGTGGCAGTCGTACTTTTGTAAAGCCTTTTAATAATTCGATTTTCATTATTACCGGGAATTATTGTCTAAATTCTACTTGGCACTGTGATGCAAGTCGTTGTGCCAACAAAGTACCTGTCGAGCCATTGTTTTCTTTTTTGGAAGAGTAGCCAATGAAAATGCTTCAGCCAAAACCAATTCACTACTTTGTCTTAATGTCAATCTGCAGCTTCGCGCTTAGACATCACGACCCATTGTGAGTTTATGGCTACCAGACTTTGTAATTGGTTTCTCTTAGCAAATACTCTCGTTCTGTCGAGCCGATGATTTTTTTCAACACACTTTTCACCGTGTTGATATAGTTTTGTGGTTGATACAGAAGCCAACTATAAACATGATCTCCCTCTTATCGTTTCGCGCCTCTCAACGGCGTCAACTCTTATCCGTCACTGCTCTCACCTTATTTTGTTTCTGCGCTTATAGTCTCTTGACAATACCACCAAAACACGCAAGAGAAATCCAAATACAAAGTCAAATACCCCAAGACCCATCAACAACCCCGGAATCAGCACCACAAGATGGCTATTTTGTTCAAGGAAGCGCCGAACCAAGACAGGTTCCCACTCCCGGAATGCATCCTATAGGATATCTTACAAGCAATGCTCAGGAAGAGTTTGGAGAAATTAAGGCTCGACAGTCTAAGACGCTTGATGAGGCTGTTCAGGAGTATCGTCGTCGATATGGCATTCCACCGCCACCTCATTTCGACGAGTGGTTTCGATTTGCAAAAGATAACGACGTCAAATTAATAGACGAGTTCGACACGATTCACGACTTGATCACCCCATTCTGGGGACTGACACCCAAAACTATTCGGGCTCGAGCCAGAGAGGCCTTGGGCTTTGATAATGGGTTGATTGGAGTATCTATTCGAGACCACAAGGTCACTTATATCCAAAATGGCGTTGAGTGGCAGCAAAATGCCACAAAGGGGATGATGGACAAATTTCTCAAGTACCTTCCAGATATGGACCTGGCCTTTAATTTTCACGACGAGTCCCGCGTTATTCTTTCGCACGAGGACTTGACGAGGTTAGTGAAGACGGCAAAGGAGCAGAATATGCCCGCAGCTTTGGCGAAATCACAACTTGCCAACGACTTCAGTCAGACGAACTCGGAGTTACATGATGGGAAGTCTTTCGACGAGACAAGTCTCACACGCTTTAACTCTTTTGCCCATCAATCGACCTGGTCTCATTCTCGCCTATCGTGTCCGCCAGATACTCCAGCTCGATGTCTCGAGGAGGAAGAGACTGTGGACTATAGAAGCAGATACGGCATGAGTGATCTTGGATTTGTTTACAATACGACCGCCATGTCAGATATCTGCCTTTCACCTAGCCTCAAGTCTAACTTTGGCTTCTTCGGCGGACCAAACACATATAGAATTGTCCAGGATTTGTTTCCAATATTTTCCCAGTCTAAGATTTCTTCTTACAGCGATCTTGTATACCCGTCTCCCTGGGACTGGGCCGGCATGGTAGAATACGATGAGGAGATGGATATGGAGTGGGTTAAGAAGGAGAGCAAGCTATACTGGCGCGGCTCGACCACTGGAGGCTACAGCCGCAACGGCCGTTGGAGACATCAGCACCGTCAACGTCTTGTACAGAAACTCAATGCGCGCGACCAGGCTCATATTCTCACTAAGCAAGACGACCCTTCCTGGGCGACCAGCGAGGTTCCGCGCGGCGACTACAGCGAGATGATTAATGTGCATTTCTCTCACATTGGACAATGTGACCAAGGCGACTGCGAGGCGCAACGGGCTTTTTTCAATGTCACCGAGGCCGTAGATCAGCAAGACGCTTGGTCCTACAAATACCTCCTCGATATGGATGGCAACGCCTTTTCGGGTCGCTTCACTGCCTTCCTTCGCAGTCGCAGCCTAACATTCAAACTCGCGGTGTTCCGCGAGTGGCATGCCGAGTGGCTCAAGCCGTGGGCACACTATGTGCCTCTAAGTATCCAGGGAGATGACTGGCTTGAGACAGTTCGGTTCTTTGAGAGCGAGGAAGCTGGTCGTGAAGAAGGCGAGCGTATTGCAGCTGCTAGTCGAGAGTGGGCGAACCAGGCTCTTCGTCAGGTTGATATGGAAGCATGGTTTTTCCGTCTCATGCTTGAGTAAGTGCTATCGTCTCGCATAGTTTTGTCGTTTTCGTGTTGGTGCTAACAGAATTCAGATACGCTCGAGTGATAGATGACAAGAGAGAAGTAATTGGCTATGATCGCAGTAGCGCCAGTATGAAGCTGCCAAAGGCTGAGAGTTGATGATTGAATGAATTGGACTGAGTAAATGACATGTACGCATAGACAATTGGGGCATAGCAAGGGCACTTGCACCACTGGGAACGGCGTCAAGGTTCATTATACCAACAAAAGCACTGGTATTGTTCAAAGCAGTAGGAGAATCGTGCATGTGTATATTATTTTGAATATGTGATATTTTTATTGCGCCTCAGATCTATGATTAAAAATTGTAAACTGTACGCCACGATCCCCCGGTTCGCCAAATACATGCCATTTCTGTCCTCGCAACTGTCAATTGTCTCGAAGTATATATCACAATCTCCCCAAAGGACATGGGCTTTTGTTCTCTTTTCCTCTAGAGTACACCGCGTTCGTCTTAGCTATATGCATCGCGCTCAGCTACCGTTTACTCCTCGTCTTCTCCTTCTGCATCATGCTCTTCAGAGGCTGACCTTGAGCGACGACCTGCTGGGCTGCTGACCCGATGGTGTTCTGCTTCCTCCTCGCCTTCAGCGTCCTGGCCCTCGTGGTGCTCCTCCTCATGCCCTTCTTCCTCATCGGCCTGTCCTGTGCCAAGGGGGTGATCATGATGTTGTTTGATCATCTCACGAATATCCTCTCTTGGGTCTTCGACAGTGACGTCGAGCTGGTCAACGACTTGCTCCTCATCGGTGATACCAATGTTCCGCGCAATGTTCTTTGTTCGCTGGGGTCGAATTACAGATTTCTGCATAACAGGATAGTAGTATACGGCCTTCTGGTTGGGATAGAAAGTGTCCTCGTTGTAAGCCAGGAGAACCTCTGCATCGAACTTGGTCTCGTGGTCGTAATTGGTCTCCTGAGCTGTCTCATACGCTCTGAGCCGGTTATATTGGAAGCATCCACCGTTGACAGAGTCATGAGTATAAAGTTCGTCTTCGTTGTGGTCGGCGTCCTCAACATCGAACTTGCGACGGAAACGATCCCCTACGTCAGGTGTTGCTGCCAAATAATAATCAAAATTCATCCAGTTCTGAGGTTTGGGATTATTTTCAGGATCTTGCTCGTGAGCTGCCACAGCTGCCTCATACGCTTCTTCCTCTTCGGCTGTCCGATCAATGGGCCGGAACAAACCACTGAGAAGACGCCGGTCGTAATCCTTTGTGCTAACCACGGGGTTCTGGTGGAATTTGATCGTAACGTACGCGCCTGAGTCGGGGAAAGCTTCGAGATCTGGGATGAAAGGCGACACATCGACAACCTTGAGATTTCTCTTGCTCGGGTGTTTGGCGCGTTTGGGGTCTTTGAACTCTTGCTCAGCAATGTCGAAGCCCTTGTCAATCTTGCGCTTAATGACATGAGGAGCATCGGCTGCAGGCTCCGGGATGCGTCGGTTCTTGTTGGCTTTAGTGAGTAGGGCGCGAGGTGCAGCACCATCTTGTCGCTTTGTGACAGTGGAAGAGATATATTCTGTTCGGCGAAGGAAAGAAACATTGGCTTCTGCGACCTTGTGTTTTCCCAGAGCGGCAATGGGTCTTAGAAGGGGTCGATCGTGAGGATGAAGAGCAGGAGGATGAGGAGGAGCTTGAATAGCTGGGGAAAAGTCAGCTTTGCGAGGCCAAAACACGATTAAGAGTCAACCTACATCGTTCATCGCCATCGAAAACACCAGGCATGCCGACCAAGTCAAGGGGCATTCCCAGTTCAGCATCCGCCTCAATATTCAGCGGCTGCTCCCTTGCAAGGCGCGAAGCAAAGCCTGGCGTCGTATATTGACCGCTAGCAAGGCCAGTATTGGGTATGTCGAGCAGCTTAGGAGGATGGGGTGGTGGAGGGAGCGCATTGGAGAATCGGATGCGTGCGATGAAGTCCTGGTGAACCAAGCGCTCGCCTGTGCGAGGAGCTGAAGATGACATGATGGTCGAATTGGCGATAGGCGCCGAAGGAGACGTTGGTGAGGGAGTGAGGTCGCGATGTATTTGAAGGATGGAGGCGCGCGACTCTTCGGTTCAGTTTGGCTTTATGGAGAAGCTTAAGCGCGGGCGCGGCTGAGTTTCGAGGTCAAAGAGATCCGAGAATTGCGGCACGAGGCTGGCCTTGTCCAAGCTCCACGTTTGGCGTAGCCACTAAGGCTTCCTCGTGAAACTTACTCCAAATAAGCAAGAATTAGACGAAGAAATAGGATAAAAATACAGAAAAACGGTTTCGGGCAACATGAACATTCCTAGCATGTTTTGTTCACCTTAAATATTGTTTAGGAACAACACACTAACCAACCTGCACGAAACTTTATACTGAAGGGCTCGGCCATTCTTTTTGATTCATATGATTGTCATTTTCATTAAATGGTTCATCTGCTCTGTTTGTCATGGCCCCAAATCCGTTCAAGTCTATAGCTAAGGTCCGTTTGTTTCACACAAACCCAGTTCCTTTCTTTCCTTTATCGCCAAACCCCCATTTGAGTTGTCACCAGTCAATTTCTCTCGTAATTGAAATACACGCCTCGGAACACGCATCGCATTATTGTGCAGCTTGATAAAGCTGGCCATCATGTTTATACAATGCACACGGGCACTTGTTAAGTCGAGATGCCCGCTGTGCTGAAGAAGAAAGTATCCCGAAAGTTGCGTCCGTTTACGAGCTGTTCTTGGCGTAGTTCTTCTTACCGACAGTAAAGGGTACGTAGCGGTACTTGATCATGTGCTGAATTTGCTTGCGCACTAGAAATAGTTGATATCAGAAATTGTGTGGTGTGTCATACGAAACTTACTAGTCAGGAAGAAAAGGATGAACCAGTACATGACCAGAACGGGCCAGAAAACTGGCACGTTAAAGATCTCGAACCAACTGCAGAAGAAGCTGATGATGATGGCTCGGGTGGCCCAGTACCAGAACTTGAACTCAGGAAGTCGACGAATGAAGGGCTTGAACTCCTCATCCTGCTTTGTGGGAAGAGTGCCCACGGAGCCGTCCTCCATCTCATTGTCGGCCTCTTCGTTTGAGGGGTCGAACTTGGGCTGCAGGAAAGCCAGGAACAGGTTTAGAAGATAGATTCCGAGCGCATAGGCAACTGCGTAGTCGTAAGTTTGATGATCAAGGGAGGACAAATTGCAGGTTCGAGCCTACCGATATACCAGCCCTGCGCAATAAGGATTCGAAGGAAGAAGAGGAGGAGACAGACAACAGTGCCAACCCATCGGTAGAGGACGAAAGGGGTCGACTGATCCAGCAAAGCTTGGTATTTCTAATCCGTTGTCAGGAGAGTCGCAATATAGAACAATCGATCTTCAAAGACATACTCGCTGGAGCCTCGAGGTATGGACGCTGACAGCCTCGAAAGGGGTCTGCTCAGGCTCTGGCGCATTCATCTTGGAAAGAGTATCGGTAGACCGTTGTCAATCGGAATATATGACGAGGGGAAAGAAGCGCAAATTATTCAAATAAAATGATCGAGTCTAATTGTGCGGAACAATGACTACAATATCGTGAGAGAAGTTGAAATTGATGAGAAGAAAAAAAAGAAGTGATGGCGAATTTGCGATTGGGGGGACGGGACTTCCAACTTTGGACTTTTGGCGATACAGCCACGTAAGGTTTGTTAAGGTCTTGGTACTCCGTACCTAGGCAAGGCTAATCAATTCCCCGGCCCTTTGCCGGACAAAGGAGAACTTGATGAACTGTTGACAGGCAGTTTGTTTGGTGGCCTCCCTGAAACTGTCAGTTAGCGTATCACCTTATTGGTGATTCAGCCGGATTGCTGCTGAGGGATCTGAGAAGAGCCCCTTGACCCCACATGCGAATGAGGCGCAGTCTTTAATTATCTATTACCGCGTCGCGTCGAGTTGCTTACCCCTGTAATAAAGCTCATATCGATACCTCTAGTAATCTACTACAATGATACTACTTACCTACTCTGTATGCACGGTTTAATTTATCAATCCATGGCTACCTGCAAGACAACGTTCTATGTAAAGCTGCGATGTATGCTCTATCAGTGATACACTATTGTACAGCATATATGCCTAAGGCAACACCCTTTCGATTGTTCTTTACGAACAATCATTAAAGCGAACAAGAACTTGCAGGGCATTGCTTGACCGCGTATTCCAAGGATGACCTTACCTCCACTGTACCATCAATAGCTTATTTGCGGGAGAGATTATAAATGAGTCAAGTTAAAGGATTTCCCATCTTAAGACTTCTCTCACCTAAGGTAAGTAGTTTGCAAAGACTCTCACGTGACGTCCATCTGGTTGTCGGCTTTGTCATGGGTATGGGCGGCCCATGTTATCCTCGGCTCAGTTGCGTCACTGGGGAAGCTTAAGCTCCCCGGTTATCAATACAGCTCCTCACCTCAATGATCAAATTTATACAATAGTTACCGTACCAATTCCTTCAGTTGTAAAACCAACATATACTGTTTCTTCCATAGCGATATTGATCGTTCATTATCTTTTTCATTATTTCCATTCTCTAGTATCACAATGAACACTTTCCGCTGCATGAGACCAGTGGCCGCTCGAGTGCCCTTCCAACGGTCTACTCTTCCTCGCATTGCTCGAGCTTATAGCTCAAAGACTTATGAGTATATCCAGGTTTCTCAACCTAAGCCTGGTGTTGGTCAAGGTATGAATGATGCTGAAATGATACAATCCCTCAGTTAGTTGATTAAACAGTGCCTAATCATTATTAGTTACCTTGAACCGTCCCAAGGCCCTCAATGCCCTATGCACACCTCTTATCAAAGAGCTCAACCAGGCTCTTCTTGACTTTAATGTAGCCGACGATACGTCGGTCATTGTTCTGACCGGCTCCCAAAAGGCGTTTGCTGCTGGTGCTGATATCAAGGAGATGGCCCCTCTTACCTTCGCTGAGGCTTACACCAAGTCCTTCATCGAGTCCTGGTCAGACCTCACCACTCAGGTCAAAAAGCCAATCATCGCTGCCGTCTCGGGGCATGCCCTTGGTGGAGGCTGCGAGCTCGCCATGATGTGTGATCTCATCTACTGTACTGAGAATGCGAACTTTGGCCAACCCGAAATCAAGCTCGGGACTGTTCCTGGAGCTGGTGGCAGCCAGCGCCTTACTCGTGCCATCGGCAAGTCAAAGGCCATGGAACTCATTCTGACCGGAAAGTCACTTTCTGGTGTCGATGCTGAGAAATGGGGACTCGCTGCCAGGGTGTTTCCCACGTATGAGGCTCTGATGGAAGAGACGCTCAAGACAGCTGAGACAATTGCTGGCTACTCGAAGGTGGCTGTTCAAGCCGCCAAGGAGGTTGTCAACAAGAGCCAGGATCTGGCCCTACGTGATGGTGTCGAGTATGAGCGACGAGTCTTCCACAGCTTGTTTGGTAGCCAAGATCAGAAGATTGGCATGAAGGCGTTCGCAGAGAAGAAGAGGGCTGAGTGGAGTCACTCATAATAAGCTATTTAAAATATACGAATATGCCTTGACGGTGTTTATATAGAAATAAGAATGCAAGAATCATTGCACATACGAAAACCACCACGATGTCCCTCTGTCTACTAATTCAATGTGGGGTTGAGGGAGCTGTTCATGGGTGCAGGTATCAGTCCCATGGGCTGGCAGGCCGTGAGAATGTGGATATAACATTTACTGTATGAAACATACTCACAACAACTATATCTAAGTAAAAAAGAAAGAAAAATATTCATCCCTAAATTAACCTTATGTTGTAATGCAGGAGACGCTTAAGGCGACTTGTACGATGATGCAACTCCATGTCTTAAAACACCCCACAAGCACCCATACATGGAAGTTCGTCCTCACTTGTTTCTCTTCTCGTTTTTACGGTATATTGCGGCCCAACCCGTCTCTAATTACGACCTGTACAAAAAAAACCGTGTGTTGTCGTGAATGGCTATTTATGGTTATCCCTGGTAGAGTCTCGACACCCAGACCGACCCCGCCACCCACTCATGCCTAGGTTAGCTACCTAGGCTAGGGGAGGCAATAAAACTTAGGACCTCAATCCTAAACGACAAAAATATCTAGGTAAGTTAGGCTAAGCGCAGGGGCCTCCTTGATGAATTTATTTTGGCATCCTCTTTTAGAGTCTGAAGTTTTCTTGCTCCCTGGGGCTATGCATAGAGGTAGTTAGGTAGCTGGCGTATTGGATGGATCGTAGCTTTCCTAGCCAACAAACCAACATCATCCTCTACCTTCGATCAACATATTCTCTTCGGCACAACCTTGTTTCTTCACGCGCATATTATTTTCATCCCAATCATGGGCCGGGATTAATCAAGTATCATGAATGGAGCCTACGAACGCTGGCTTGGACTTGGAAAAGGAGCTGACGTGCTCTGTAAATCTCCCCGCCTTTTTGTCTCCAAAGTTGATGACTGCCAGCAGCTAACCATGTCTGTAGATCTGCACGGAGCTCCTATACCAACCTTTGACTCTTCTTGATTGTCTTCACACGTTTTGCGGTGCCTGTTTGAAGGAATGGTTTACTTTCCAGGCTGCGACAGCCGAGCGGGCGCCAAACCCGCCTGCTCCTGGTACTAACATTTTTACATGCCCGTCATGTCGAGCTACTGTACGGACGACCCAACATAATGCGACCGTCGTCACTCTCTTGGATATGTTTATAGCAGCAAGCCCTGGCAAGGATCGTTCAGCAGCAGAGAAGGAAGAGATGGCAAAGAAATACAAACCTGGCGACCAAGTCCTACCTACGATAAATACACATCGAACGGCGGAAGAGCGGCGCATCGATGCCGAGGACAGAAGGTTGGTGGAAGAGGTTCGAGAACTGAGTTTGCAAGAGGCGGGAGTATCTTCAGGGCCACCAAGGATGCGACGGAGGCGTGAGAGTCGATCTGCAGATGACAGAAGAAGGACAAGCAGAGACAGAGAAAGGGACCGAGGCAGAGATAGAAGCGTCGATAGCCGCCATCAGCGACGAGGAAGCCGTCGCCCACGAGTTGATGAGGGAGGTCGACATAGCTCTGATCAACTCCATGTCGAAGGCGAGCGACGACGTCGACGAAGCGAATCAAGGCAGCGGCAGATTGAGCACCAGTCGTCGATTCGATCACTAATCAGCTCGGGAGATATGAGTGAGAGGGATATCGAACGGGAAATAGAGTCATTTGCCAGACAGATCCAGGAAGAGGGTCTCCTCGACGGGCTCGATTTGGATAACATCGATTTGAGTCGCGACGACGAACTCAGCAGGAGGATCACTGAGGCATACCGACGTCGGCAGAGGGATCGAACACGCCAAGAAGCGAGGAGGAACAATGGAAATAACTATCCTCCATTGACACGATATGCCGAGAATGCGGCAGCTGGGGACCCTCGTATGTTGGCCCCAGAAGGAGGTCGACCAAGAGAAAGATCTCGACCACATTCTCGGTCCGCGAGCGCCGCAAGCGCTACCAGTGCTGCGAGCCAGACAGAGGAACGAAGTCGTCCGCCAACATCTACGGCTTCAGCAAACTTAGAGGTCCAGGAGCCAATTAGAAGGCCTAGGAGACGAACTGCTAGCGGAGGTCGCAGCTCAACCACCCCAGTGTTTCCGACCACTGCTGAACCCAGGCCTGCTGCCCGGTCCTCTACAGACCTAGGATCGAGACCACAGGCTTCTGATACAACACAGCCCCGACCTAGCTTTAGCGAGGGACGCAGCACGAGCACACCCATCCATACCGTACCGTTTCCCAACCCAACAGAAGCTGCTTCGTTCAGCAACAATTCCGGGAATATGTCGTTTGCCAGTCGTCAAGGAACCTCCCAAAGTGCATCGGTCCCTCCTCTATTCTCCCATCATGATGCAGCAGCCAGTCGTTCAAACAGACCTCGTCCCGTTGATCTTGCTATTGTTCATCAGACAGTGACCAGCCCGATTAGTAGTCCCACCGTCTCAGGACATCAGAGGACTAGGTCACAGCTCTACCCTGAACCTTCAGTCAGCTGCTCACGGTGCAACAAGCAGCACATCGAATATGAGCTCCATTACAATTGCTCCATTTGTGCCAATGGACAGTGGAATATATGTCTCAACTGTTATCGGGCTGGCAAAGGCTGTCATCACTGGTTTGGGTTCGGTCATGGTGCTTTTTCAAAATGGGAAAAGATCCGCCAGCAGAAAGGGGATGCTTTGCTACCACAGCCACATACATTGACAGCTCTCCGTTACCGTCCTCCCCGCTCATCCCCTGGCGGAGCAGAGGGACGAAAAACGCTGACAACGGACGATCCCCGGCATCGATTAGAAAGCGGTACTTTCTGTGCCAAATGCTCCGCTTGGACGAACGAGTGTTATTGGCGGTGCGACATATGTAACGAAGGCGACTGGGGCTTTTGCAACGACTGTGTGAATCAGGGAAGATCATGCACACATCCCTTACTTCCAATGGCTCACGAAGCCACCCAGTCTAACCAACACAGGCCTGGAAGCCCTCCCAGATCACCTGGTCGACCCACGGCAGCAACAATATTCAAGGGCCCTAACGTATCCAGCATCAAACCATTCGAATACTTGTCATTCACCACAAGATGCGACTTGTGCCAGGAGCCCATTCAACCGAACCAAGCACGATATCACTGCTATCAGTGTACAAGCGCTTTGGTCTCAGATGCTGCACCAGGTGATTACGATATATGTTCTTCATGTTATGGGAACTTGATTGTACAACGACAGATCAGCCCTGAAAACGGCCATTCAGGTTGGAGGAGATGTCTTAACGGGCACAGAATGGTAATCATCGCATTTACTGATGGGAAGAGTGGGCGATGGAGATATATAGCCCAGGACTTGGTAGGAGGCCAAGGACTAAAGCCAGAGGCAGCTGAAAAAGCAGAACACCGCGAGAAGGGACTGCAAAAATGGGTTTGGCACGAAAATGGTCAAGACCTAGCCCGGCTTGTCACCAAAGATGTGTCAGAAACAGCGCCGAGTGAGAGCGGTTTCACAAAGAGCCTACCACCTGATGGCGGAGTTGGACTGAAGGCGACTGCGAGGTTTGGATGGTACCCCAGACCGGGAGCGGACGACGAGCTTCTCTTTCCAAAGGGAGCGGAAATTAAGGAGATCGAGGATGTAAACGGAGAATGGTTCTTTGGAGCATATATGGGCACTCGAGGGTTGTTCCCAGCGCCATATGTGCGGTTAGAACAGGATGCCTAAAGATGCAAGAGCTGGCAACGCCGTGGTGGATGCTCGAGAATCTAATACTCATTTATATGATGGCTGCGTTATGATTTGTTAGTATCCATGCTTGAAGCCATATGGAAGTCGGTGCGGGACTTGGTCATCCAACACCGACAGCCCGGGATTGCGCCATTGCCGATTGCGGCCCCACCATCCAAATACATTTCCCTTTGATCTCTTCTGTAAGCTCAACTTATTCCTCTTGTGGGAAACCCCGACTTCTGTGACTGCCAATTGATTTGCTCGAGTTCGCGGCGCTTCACATATTAAATCATGTTCCGTCCCAGCGTCAGGCGGCTTGCAGCTGCTGCGGCCAAAGCTGCAGCAGCTCCCAGCTCTCATACCCTCAATGTGTCTCGAGCTCAAGGTGTCTCGAGGGGTTTGACAGGAGGTGCGCATATCATTAATTCAATCCCGATGCTTAAATGGGAATCTGACCTAGAATAGCTATTGGCAATACCCCTCTCATCCGTCTGAACCATCTCTCCGAGGAGACAGGCTGTGAGATCCTCGGCAAGGCAGAGTTCATGAACCCTGGTGGTTCCGTCAAGGACCGCGCAGCGCTGTACGTTGTCAAGGACGCCGAGGAGCGCGGTCTTCTCAAGCCTGGAGGCACTGTTGTCGAAGGGACCGCAGGAAACACCGGTATCGGCCTCGCTCACGTCTGTCGGTCCCGTGGCTATAAGCTCGTCATATACATGCCCAACACCCAGTCTCAGGGCAAGATCGATCTTTTGCGACTCCTCGGCGCTGAGGTCTACCCGGTCCCTGCTGTCGCGTTCGATAATCCCGAGAACTACAATCACCAGGCCCGCCGACACGCTGAGCGACTCGACAACGCCGTCTGGACGAACCAGTTCGACAACACAGCTAATCGCCGCGCGCATATCGAGACGACTGGCCCTGAGATCTGGGCGCAAACAGATGGAAAGGTTGACGCTTTCACATGCGCCACTGGAACTGCTGGTACCCTGGCCGGTATTACAAGGTATCTAAAGGACGTCTCTGATGGCCGGGTCAAGAGTTTCCTTGCCGATCCTCCTGGCAGTGTGCTTCATTCCTATGTCTCCTCCGGCGGCAAGCTTACCGAGCGCACGGGTTCCAGTATCACCGAGGGTATTGGACAAGGTCGCATCACCGACAATCTCCAGCCAGATATTGGCCTGGTGGACGGTTCGCTGCACATCTCAGATGAGAAGAGCATTGAAATGGTCTACCGATGCTTAGATGAGGAGGGTTTGTACCTCGGCGCCAGCTCCTCTCTCAACGTTGTAGCTGCCAAGGAGGTTGCTGAGAAGCTAGGCAAAGGCCATACTGTTGTCACTGTCCTCTGCGACGGTGCTTACAGATACGCTGATCGACTGTTCTCGCGCAAGTGGTTGACAGACAAGAAGCTTCTGGGAGCTATTCCCAAGCACTTGGAGAAGTACATCGTTTTGCCTTAGAAAGAGGTATCTCGTACAAAAAGAATCTCGTTGATACATATATAGTACATGACAATTCTCCCGCTATCCGTGACAGATTGTCCTCATGTTGACCCCATGTCTTCTCAGAGTGCATGAATATTTGTGACTAGTTATCCTCTACAACGTTTCTAGGGCGGGGCGCATCAGGCAAGTGTTGCTTCCAGCCAGGCTGTCGACCTGTGACTTTCTCATACGCCATGTCCCAGCCAAAAGAGTTCTTATCAGGACTCATCATAAGAAAATCTTCGATGTGTTGTTCCATAATATCGTGAATAGGCTGCAGGTCTTTGGCATCGTCACCGATGATCTCCTGTGCTAGTTCTATCGCCCTTATGTTCTCGGTAAGAGTCAAGATGTAGTTGAAAGGAGAAACGTGTTGCCTTTCGGGTACGTAATGATCGCTGTTAGGCTTGACTCGGTTGTTAAGCGGATTCAGGTAGGGTGACTTTGTTAGGTCATCGGATTCTCGTTCAGCCCATGCGCTGGTTATAAACTCAACATTGTCTCGAAGCTCTCGGATCAAATCATCCACTGGCGCTCCGGCTGCCTGTTGCTCCTTGACTGCAGATGTTTGGGAGAAGAGAATCATACCCCGGATAACGGGGTTCATATGAGGCTGACGACGAGGGGGTGTGTTCTTGGCAAGGTGCTCAGGGCGCTGAATGATATCCCAGACCATCTTATTCCACTTCAGAGCCTGTTGCGTCTCGCTCTCCTTTCCTTTCGGGGATATGATCTTGTGGTTGATAGACGCCAACAGCAGGATGACAGTGCAGTCGCGATGTAGACATAGTCCGGTCTTCTCAACTTGTTGGGCACATTCAATGACAACATACGGCTGCCCGTGATAGCCTGCACGTCGAGTCACGGCGTCGGCATGCCAGCGTTTGAGTTTAATTCCAGCTTTTTTATAGCCGGCAAGCAGTGTGCTTATGTTATCCCACTCCTCTTTGGTTTGCATGAGCTTTGTTGCCTCTGCAAAAGCCTTCATCGAGTTTGGGACATCGTGGAATCGGTTGATGGTCTTAAAAGTGTGCTCGAGCCCATCGACTTCGATGGTGACGGGATTTCGCTGGATGTAGTCGCTCTTCTCAGGGTTGAAGACAAGCTTCCTCGCTTTCTCGGGTAGATGGGCAGGGAGAATGATCTTCTCTTGAATTTCGGTAAGAATTTCATTCAATTGGGGATTTTTGGTCTCGGCGAACACAGCACTAAAACCTTGTAGATTGTCAACTACCTGCATTATAAGTGTTGCACTTTTCTTCAATTAACTTACTGTGTGCAGGAGATATGCTGAAGCGTCTGTACTGGATAACGGGCTTTGCAAGCGACGTCCGCAGGTTGGCCACAGGCCTTAAGCCCGAAGTCAAAGATCTATTCAACATTGTGCTGCCTGTCCTACAGTGCTGTGATACTCTTGGGGTTTTAAGGCTTAGGCAATTCATAGTTTCATAGGAAGGTATTCTGCGTTCCCAGAAAAAAAGGTACCGGAGGAACTGTCGGCCGAGCCAATCAGCAACGGGAATTGGAAGCATTGGGAGAAGCCCCAGAAATTCTAGCGCCTGGTCTCAACCTCAAATACTTGTATATTTCACGACAAGTCAAATTACGATGAACGTCGCCAGCGTGGGACGGCCAGTCGGCTGTCTCAAGTCTGCTCTTAGATGGACAAGACTCCAGAGGACTTTCGGGAGGAGTATTTCTTCAGCAGCCGTTGAGCCTGTGCCCAAGCCGATACCGAACGCCTTCAGCGCTGAACAACGTATGTATCTTACGATCTGGAATACTGTGAAACAATATCGCTGACATTTAGACCAGGGGCGGATCTCACGAAGGTCAGCAAATTTCATATCTACCCTCGAGTCCCGAGTGTTCGTACCACCCACCCCGATCCCATGCCCGCACTTCTGCAAAAGCAACTCGCGAAACTCGATCCGACTGGCGCACGCACACGACTGTTCTCAAGGGAGCACGCCGACAGCGCTAAGGTTGGCGACGTTCTGATGGTGACGACAAAGGGCGGAGAGCCCTTTGCCGGCGCTTTTCTACAAATCCGACGTCGAGGCCAGGATACAGCGATCCAACTGCGTGGACAGATGATGAAGGTTGGTGTGGAGATGTGGTTCAAGATCTATAGCCCGACTGTGACGGGTATCGATATTATCTGGCGACGACCCAAGAGGGCACGACGAGCACGCCTCACATATATGCGGAAGCCCAAGCACGACATGGGCAGTGTGGATCAAATGGTGTTCGCATGGAAGAAGGAGAGATATACTCTACGGTCACGAGCAAACCAGTCTGGAAAACCTTCTGGAAGACAACATGCGAAGATTCTCGGACAGAAGAAGAAATAGACGAAAGCATGCACGGAAAGTGGTTGTATGATATATTGTGTATAAGAACTTGCTGAGCCATCTATGAATCATTTGCCCAATTATGTTTCTATCATGTCAGTGATCTGAAATAAGCAGTGATGATCCTCACGGATGTTGATGGGTACAGATTAGCATGACAGGCTGTACGTACGAGTTTCAGTATCAGATCATTTGACTTGTTGTACATGCAGACAGCCAGGTCGCAAGTGCATGGCCCTTTGTATAGATTCCCAGTCATTAGACCCTGTATTTAACGCTGGCCATATTATCGTTTGATAAAACGAGCCTGTTGTCCGTTGAACGATCTGCTGTACAGGGTATGTGTCTAATAGCTAACACAACCGCAGCCAATGATCAATAGAAGCTGGTGGAAGTTTCGTCCGAAAAAACGAGGACTTGTCTATTATATGCTACCCTCGTTAATCTGAGTGGCACAATAGATGTTCATGCGAGGTTGTTTGAGTGTGGAGGACCGAAACAGTTTTCGTCTGATACTGATTACTTATATGAACCTTGCCATGCTTGTCATTTGTTTGAACAACGAATATCCGTACAGGCACTAAGAGGCGTTCAACCGTGATGAGTCCTCGTCAGGACGCAGAATGGTCTCGTCGATACGGTTAGTTAAGGTACTCCTCAACTGATAAAGTATATCGTTATGAATTTGTGGTTCAAGTATTCGGTTGAAGCAGCAACTATTAACTGAAATACAAGGCACTAAGCTACCTAGTAGTCTATGGTTGCATAATAGTAGAGTTTCACAGAACGTTTCACAAGACATTAAACATTTACCTGTGGCCGTTTACGCATATTGAAGTTTAGTTTGACCTACCCCCATATGATAGGCAGGAAAAAGAGTTGAGACAGCCCAGCGCCATGCATCGGGATTTACAGCCGGTTGATCGACCCCCCAGTGTTTCGTTCCTCGCACAGGGTCCACCCTGGTCAAGACTAATGAACTCCCTAAATTCCATGGCTTTTTGTATCGAGTATCTGAACCCTTCAAGATATTTTACCTAGAAAGAGTCGGCATCACTCAAAGGAATGCTAGCTGTTTCAAATAACTATCAACGAACCAAAAAGACACAGCAAACCAGTCCCAAGTCTATTTATATCACGCTATGCATTGTCTCGAGGATGTATCCAGGGGAAATACACGGTATGTTCTTATGCGAGGAGGTTTAGGAGGCGTTAGGGATCAACTGATAGAACCCAACGCCCAGGTATAAACCTAACAAACGCCTCACCTTTTGGATGTGTACCTTATTTATAGCTAACTACATATTCTGTAATTCTCGTGTACGACTACAGGCTGTCCATATAAAATTTCAGGTCGAAATTTCTTGCAGGGAACGGATATTCAACATCAATTCAAATCACCCCGGTCTATCAACAATACATCAACTAGCCCTAGCAGGGGCTCTGGGCAAGCGCTGAAAACCAGCTAAAAATGGACGCTACGAAGGATTCCACCCACGCCTTTCAGGGGATGCTTCCACTGCAACCCGGCAACGTGGAGGGCAACGAGAAGTTCCCCAATTTTTGTTTACACGCGGATGCCCAATCCAGCGGCGACTGCGACTGCAACCAGCAGCAGCGCTACCAAGAGAACAAAGAAGACAACTACTTCTACCACACAGATCTCAGCATCAACAACAACAATTGTAATCAGCACCATCAACATTTCTACAATTCTCCACCTGCTTCAATATCGGCATCATCTCGCTTATCGTACATCTCCACCGTCTCGGCCTCGGCTTCATCTTCATCCTCAAGGATATCTACCGCTTCATTCGAGTCACTTCCTACCCCAATTTCCGTATTCGAGGCCTCTCCACACTCTCCTCGCTCCTTGTCTAACAGGCTCTCCTCACCCGTATCTGGATTCATCGCCCGTCGTCGAACGTTCACACAGGATTCTTGTTCGCTCTCATCCTCTCCACCATCTTCACCGACCCCGCGCACAAGGCGGGACAAGTCACAACTGCATGCGGCTCGAGTGCAGCGGTCAGGCAGCACAACTACAAATACAAAATCTCTCTTAGGTCTTCAGTTAGGGAAACAGTCGACCAATTCGCGAAGGTTCACGCCCAGCGCATCTACTCCTGCAGACGCTCTTGCAGCTGTTGAGCCCCCGCATGACCAGAAGTTGACGAGAATGGCTTTTGCAGAGCAGCAAAGATGGGTCACGGTCCAACAGAAGACCTTCACAAAATGGTAGCTATGGCCTTGAATTCCTGGCTTGCAGTATTCTCACATCCTTTTTCCAGGCTTAACACGAAGATCGAGGCTCGAAACCTTGAGGTTAAGGACCTCGTGAAAGACCTCAGCGATGGTGTAGGTTTACGTTACGGATAATTTGCCCCTAACCGTCACTGACATCTATACATAGGTCATGCTGATCCATCTCCTCGAATGTCTTTCACACGAATCGCTCGGCCGTTATGCCTCAAAACCCAAGCTTCGAGTCCAAAAATTCGAGAATGCGAACCTGGCACTTGACTTCGTCAAGTCCAGGGGTATTCAGATGACCAACATCGGTGCTGAGGACGTGGTTGATGGCAACCAAAAGATTGTTCTGGGTCTCATCTGGACCTTGATTCTTCGATTTACCATCAGTGACATTAACGAAGAGGGCATGTCAGCAAAGGAGGGTCTCCTGCTGTGGTGTCAACGGAAGACGGCGTGTTACGATGAGGTCGAGGTGCGAGACTTTAGCGCCAGCTGGAACGATGGTTTGGCGTTCTGTGCTCTATTGGATATCCACCGACCCGACCTCATAGACTATGACGCCCTGGACAAGAAGGATCATCGAGGCAACATGCAACTAGCATTCGATATCGCACATAAGGAGATTGGTATCCCTAAGCTGCTTGATGTGGAAGATGTGTGCGACGTGGCCAAGCCCGATGAACGATCTCTGATGACTTATATTGCTTATTGGTTCCATGCATTCTCGCAAATGGAAAAGGTCGAGAACGCTGGACGTCGCGTTGAAAAGTTTGTCAACAACATGCAAGGGGCTTGGGAGATGCAAAGTGCCTACGAAAGGCGGATGCGGGCGCTCCTACAAGCCATTCAGGAGCAGATCGAGGTGTGGAAGCAGGCTACGTTTGAAGGAACATACGCCGATGCCAAAGCTCAATCAAACCAGTTCTTTGAGTACAAGAAGGGTAAAAAAAGACAATGGGTCGCCGAGAAGAGTGACCTGGCAACGTTGCTCGGAAACATCAAGACCAAATTGGGGACTTATCGCCTACGACCATACGATCCACCCGCGGAGTTGAGCCTGGATGCACTCGAGAGGAAGTGGGCAGAGTTAGCATCAAATGAGATGACACGTGCCCAGCTAATCAACGAGACAATCCGAGAGTAAGTCGGCTTCTCTTCAATAGATGATCCCCTCCCTTTCCTTTCCTTTCCTCTCCTTTGGTTAACATTGTTATAGCATCAAAAACGCCCTCCGCAAATCTTTTGCTGACAAGGCAAATGATTTCGCAATGGCTCTCAATACCATGCAGTTGGCCATCTCTGGCCTTGACGGTGACGTGGAAGACCAACTGCACCATGTAAGGAAGCTGAGTGAGAGCCTTTCTCCTTTGGACCAATACTTGGACAAAATTTCAGAGCTGGATCAGAAGTGCCAAGAGGCCAATATTGAGGAGAACGACTTTACTACCTACACATACGACGAACTGTCATACGAGCTTGGTCTTGTTAAGACATCTGTGCAGAAGAAACTTGTGTTTTTGGAGAACCAGATGGTAGCGCGAAGCATGACGAACCTGACCCCTATCCAGTTGGAAGAGTTTGAGAGTGTTTTCCGTCACTTCGATCGTGACGACACAAACTCTTTACAGGAGTTAGAATTCAGTGCGGCGCTTGCGTCACTGGGACTTGTGTTCTCAGAGGACGAAATGCACGACTACTTCCTCGAGACATCTGGTGGGCGCGACTATGTAACGTTTGAACAATTTATCCGGTTCATGGTGGATGTGACAGAAGATCAGAACACGGCAGAACAAGTCTTCCAATCGTTCCGTGAGGTGGCAGACGGAAAGCCATACGTGACAGAGATGGATTTACGACACAGCTTGGTACCCGACGAAGTGATTGACCAACTCATCGAGATCATGCCGCCTCACAGTGGGCCAGACATGTCAGAGGACAGAGGAATGCCACAATACGACTACATCTCCTTCATGGAGAAGCTGATCAACGATCAAAATAACCAGCAAGAGAACTCAGAAGCTACACAACAGAATAGGAGCGACGCTGAGCCACAAAGCCCTCACACAAACGGGGTCTAGGAGAAACAGGGTGAAGACCCATGGCTAGAGATGCACGCATCAGTTCAAATGGAACTGAGTATGAAACTTGGCATCACGAGTCCAAAAACGAGGGAGGGGTAAAACATGGAGAGAAAGGCTGGCGAGACACTTACATGTCCCTTCTTAATGATGCATCGCCTAGTGGCGTTTTACCTTGTGCTGGCGAAGATGGAGGGTGCATTTCACTTACGGTAAATAAATATCCCATTGACTTATACCAGAGAGGGGTTGACTATTTGATGGGAGGGAATGGGTGGTTGATCAGGATAGCCACACATTGGGCGTCTTACCCAGCTTTCTTGGGGACATCACCGTAGGAATGGGCCTCTTTTTCATTTTCTCCTTTTTAGTTAATACCACCAAGGATCAAAGACTTGACAAGCCGAAGATTCTGTTTATTTATTCGATCTCCCTTGCACTCAAATCAAGCTGAAGCTCCAATAGTACCTTTGAGATGATTTGTGGGGGTTGTTTTAAGGCTGGGACTTTGGTATCACACAAACAATGAATAACTAACTTAGGTGAAGTACCAACTTATTAGACTGGTTGATTAAGAGTGGAGGAGAGGCTTTAATTGGACGGAAGATTATGCATGTTTTGAAGAGTGGGAGGAAGTATACGGCAAATGTGCGGGTTTACCGACGTTTAGTTGGTTATTTGATTCGGCGTAAAGTTAATGTTGCCGAAGTATATTGAGAGAGTGGAATAACCCCCTTTGAACACAAACTTTTGACCCGTTGAAAAAACAAAGCTATAAGGTATCAAATACGGCGATGCCGGACGGTGGCGGCAACTGCATCGGCGTCTTCCAGGTGAATGAAGAGGTTGTCGGGCGTTATTCAGTTAGATATAGCCGGTTGGGTAGTGTGAGAGGGATGAAAGGTGGGCTCCGCAGTTTCTTAGCCTTGCGCAATAGACAAAAAGTTACTGGGGGCGATATACAGCTTCAGTTTCTCTTCCTCTCTTATATTTTCCGTCCCTAGTTAGACAATTGGGATCCTGGATTCAAGGTCTGCGTGGTCAATTCGATTCAGAGTCAAATTTCCCAGCATGTCTTGTCGTTCACAGCTCTTCCGTGCCTTAAGAGCACCCGCCTCCAGCTCCGGTAGTCGGAGGACTGTTTCTCTAAGGACCAACATCCTCGGGAGAAGCCTTGCGCACTCAAGAACGCCCGCCCGATGCATCGCGACTACAGCCCCGAGGCTCGTCTCCCCGACTCGGGCACAGCAGAGCAAGCTGACATCTGAGACGTACCCGCAACTCGAGCGCGACGCCCGGTTCGCTCAGGTGACCCCCGAGCACGTTGCGCAGTTCCGTGAGATCTTGGGTAACAATCCCTCGGCCATCATTGACGGAATCACGGACGGCGGAGCGGGCGTCGATGCGGCCGACTTCGAAACGTACAATGAGGACTGGATGCACAAGTACAAGGGCCAGTCTAAGTTGGTGCTGCGTCCAGGCACCACTGACGAAGTTAGCGGCATCCTCAAGTACTGCAATGAACAACGTCTGGCTGTCGTACCCCAGGGAGGAAACACAGGCCTTGTGGGAGGCTCCATTCCCGTTTTCGACGAGATCGTCATTAGCATGGCTCGCATGAACGAGATTCGTTCCTTCGACGAAGTCAGTGGTTCACTTGTTATTGACGCCGGCTGTGTCCTCGAGACTGTCGACTCATACCTTGCCCAAAAGGGTTATATCTTTCCTCTCGACCTCGGCGCCAAGGGCTCGTGCCACGTTGGTGGAAACGTCGCCACAAATGCTGGCGGTCTGCGATTGCTCCGTTATGGAAGCTTGCACGGCACCGTCCTCGGTGTTGAGGCTGTTCTGCCTAATGGTACCGTCATCAACGACCTGTGTACCCTGCGAAAGAACAACACCGGCTACGATGTGAAGCAGCTCTTCATTGGTGCAGAGGGAACTTTGGGAATTATTACCAAGATCGCCATTCAATGTCCCCAGCGATCTCCCGCCGTTAATGTCGCTGTATTTGGCATAGAGTCATACGATAAAGCTCAGCTTGCCTTCCGTGAGGCTAAGAAGCAGCTATCAGAAATTCTATCTGCATTTGAGCTGATGGACGGCCGCAGCCAGAGAATTGTGTCAGAGGTTAAGGGCCAGGAGCATCCTCTCGAGGGGGAATACCCCTTCTACTGCCTGATTGAGACGAGTGGCTCCAATGGCGAGCATGACTACGCAAAGCTAGAGACCTTCCTCGAGGATGTCATGACCCGAGAAGTTATTGCTGACGGTGTCGTCGCTCAGGACGAGACGCAGCTTCGCAACCTGTGGGGCTGGCGTGAGGGCATCACCGAGTGCCTTGGCCACTGGGGCGGCACCTACAAGTACGATATCTCCATTCCCCTCGACGAGATGTATACCATCGTTGAAGATACCAAGGCTCGTCTGATTGACCTGGGTCTTCTGGGTGACACATCTGACCACCCGGTTGTCGACGTGCTTGGCTATGGCCATATGGGTGATTCCAATCTGCACCTCAATATCCCGGTGCGTCGTTACGACCCTGCAGTTGAGAAGGCCCTGGAGCCTTGGGTATACGAATGGATTCAGAAGCGTAGTGGTAGTATCAGTGCTGAGCATGGCTTGGGAATTGCGAAAAAGAAGTTTATCGGTTACAGCCGAGACGACACAACGATTGGTCTAATGAAGCAGATCAAGAATCTCTTTGATCCCGTGAGTTCATCACCTCCCCCCTTTCATCTTCGAGGTTTGGTATCCCAACCCTGAAACGCTGTGCTGGAACTTTATTTTCACTTCGACCCTCTGTTGCAATTCCCCGACATTAGGGCTGACATCTGACCCAGAATGGCATCATGAACCCCTACAAGTATATTTGATACCCCGGTCTCTTGGACTCGTACCCGAGTGACAGCATATCTGACCCCCCCTTCATTGGGGTATGCTGCAGCGTCATTCGTGCTGCTCAGTAATTCCAGCTGTGGCTGGGCCAAACGACCTCGATAGCCCCGCCCCGCTGACCTAAGCGAGTGTGAATGAGCAAAAACTTGAATAACGGGGCCCAAAGCGTTGTATGAGCAAAAGCGCTGTGCATATAGCGTTTATAGCTGTTTTGTGTATAGGTATTTGAGAAACGGCCATGACCCTCAAACACCCAAGTATACATGCACACACACACATAGATTCTTGGATAAAGTCGATAGCCGGTTCGGATAGCGTTGGTGGTAGTCAGTCAATCAATCCACAGGGGCGGAACTATCTCCGTCGTCTTGCAAAACCTGCAGGTTGCTGCTTATTTTCAGCTATTATCAGGTAAATTAATGCCCAATTATTCGCAGGGCGCAAGTCAATACGACTGGGAGTCAGAACCATGACTCGACTGGTTAATTTTGACACTTCGTAAGAAGTTGGTTGTGTCTCATTGCATCTCAAAGGCCCCTGCCCGTGCCCGTGCCCACGTCCTCGTCATTTGGAATCTGTCAAACAGGAGTACTGGAGCTACCCTCCACTCCGTGTTGTTTACCAAATAGCCAGCTTCAGCTCTTAAACTTGATAGCCAACGAGGGGCGGTTGCCGCCCTTCCACTCACACCTCCCTGTCAGCCTTATGGGGCGGACGCTGCAGCTTCTCCACAGGAAGCCGATGCACTAAGCCAAAAGTTCCCTGTAAGTGAAGACTTGCTCGTTCGCATATTCCTATCCCAGTCCAAAGTCCCTGCCGTGGGTCCCTATCCATTGACGTCGTCGGTCCCAATTGATCCCAATTGGATTGTTTCGTCATACCTAGCATGTGCAGAGCCATGGCCTTTGAGAGCTTTACACCCGGTGGATATGTGGGCGGCCGTCGCCAACTAGGTCAGGTCGAACAAGAGCTCTTGACACTCCTTATTCGTCGTACATGGTGGCCCTCATTACCGCGATGAAACTTCGCCAGGTGATTACCTTGAAGGGAGACATCTTTCCATCTCCCAGTTAAGGTGGCTCTAATGACTGTGTGCAAGATGGACTTCCGTGACGTGTGGGGTGATAGGCAGTTGACAGGATGCCTCATTGCAACAGATGCCGGTGACAGTTTAGGTGCAGCATCGCAGACGGAGTAGCCGAAATCCTGGCCATCCCATGGTTCTTTCGTTATAATAGAAGCTGCCCCGAACACAACTTGTCAAGATAACATACTGCAAGTCATCATCCTTATCCAAGTAAACATGGTTGGCGTCCCTGGAAAATACAAAGGCTGCGAAACGTGCCGGCGTAGAAGAGTCAAGGTAAGTCTATATCATATGATTGTACTTCTGCCATCCAAGCTCACATTCTCGAATAGTGCAGCAATGAGAGGCCTTACTGCCAGAAGTGTATATCGAGTGGAAGACAATGTGAAGGATACGAACGAGAACGAGTCTTCATCACCGGGACACCACAAAACAAAGGCAGAGTAGCCTCCCATCCGAAGAAAAGCTCATCCTCCAAGAAGGAGAGGTCGCCTTCGTACGAGGGGCCTCCCAGAACGCTCGATATCACGCCAGTCCATCCTCTCACTTCGGCCTGGGACGACCACACACTTGTGTCAAGCCAAGGAGTGGAGTATTCGGTTCTCGTCTCAGCTTTGCACACCAGGCTTCCATACACTCTTCCAGATGATTCAGCTGATGACTCCACACCCTTCCACATCACGTTCCCGCCATATACGCCAACAGACATGCAGCCATTACTGGGCGAAGGAGACTTTGGTGTAAAAGCACAATGCTTAGCACGATTACCGAGCGTATATGAGCAAGATGACTCGGCACAAAGTTACTGTATCTTCTTCTTCGAGGTTCGTGCGATGCCTCTGCTGATTCCAAATGGTTGCTGACACTTAACTAGCATGAAACGGCATATGCGTTTGGCGAATCAGGGTCTCAACAGATGAGACGAAAGGGACCGGCCTATTTTAGTCACTTTCCCAATCATCATTTCTTTGTGCGAGTGTATCGACCTCTGGCTGTAAGTAGCGTCCAACGATTCCTGGTTATTTCGTTCTGCTGAGTGCAAGACAGACCGGCTTCGCTCTCCTGAGGCGACAAGATACCTTTGTATCATCTCCAGATTGGAGGACTATCCCGTGGCAGAGACATCCGAAATCACTCCTGGACCATCTTCTGGACCTTGTTCTTCTGCTGCCAGCCATACTTTCTCAAGCTGACCAGATTGTCCCATTAGAAGCAACCCTCCATCGACGGCACAACGCTCAGCAGCTTCTCCGGGATTGCCTTTCACTCGAGAGACACTTCGATGCTTGGTTTCAGATGGCCAACCGTCCCAGTTTTGAATATCCCGTGGCCTATTGGACTGAGGAGCTTATCAGTCCTGGTGGTCTCATTCCTTTCACAAATTCGTACGCTTTCAGGAACGCAATCACCGGACTTGCCTTCCTATATTACTGGATGACACAAATCCTCTTTCACCAATGCATTGAAAGCCTGCACCGAGCCATCTACCAGCCAGTTATCGACGCATACCCAAATATGTGGCCTGACTTGCCGTTCGACTTGCAGATCGATATTACTCGATATCAGCATGGGCGCATGTTTGCTGCAGATATCTGCCGTGGACTCGATTCAGTCTTGCATGACACTGTTCAACCTGATATGCTGATTATGCCGATGACCGTGGCGATGGATTTGTACCGGGAGATTAATTCAGCTTCGCAGGATGGACTCATGGAGATCATGTGGATCGACAACTTTCGTTCGCGGCTTATTGAGAAAGGCCAACATGTTGCCGGTGTTTTACAGAGTCAAACATGGTCTGAAGTAGCGACTTTCTGACCTGAGGGCCCATTGACATGTCCCTTGGTCAGGAACACTAGTCCTACGCTTACCTTGTACTCCTTCTCCTCTTTGTTTGCCTTATGAAAATGGCAATTCCATTCCTTTCTTTCGTCAACCACCAACTTCGGTACAGAGTAGAAGTAGAGAGTCAAGAGATCGTATTTAGTCTACTCTGAAATGATAACGCTCAATTAGTGGGGCTATAATAGTGGAAGTCAGTAGACAAGCACTAAAAGGAGGATATGGACTGATATGTGATCAATTGCCTCCAGGGATCGATCATTCTTTTTAGGGATGTGAAGTCGAGGTCGATATAAACATGCAGAGCCACCAGTAATCAAAGTACAGTTACCTTAGTACCTTGCGAGAGGCCCGTGCATACCATTTGCATCACATCCATTAGGTATGCGGACCACGCAACGGTGTTTTTCCGGCCCGTTGCCCGCTAACTGGGGAGCTACAGCTCTCAGCCTTCCGTATGTACCAGGCAGGCTGCCGTTCTGACGAAGCTAAGCACCTCAATACATCAACGTCAACACTCATCGACTTAGCCCAGCCATAACTCCAGGATTTGCCTTCATACACCAACAAAGCACGCCGTATACTCCCAAACACGGCGATTTCGCAACAACTCTTCTTTAATTCTGCATCATGGCATCCGGTTACGACAGAGCTCTGTCGGGTGAGTTCACATAACGGCCTGTGTTCAATGATCTATCCATCGCTAACAATAAGTGCAGTTTTCAGGTTAGTACCACAACAATACTCACGACAAGCTCCCTAACATCTGATTTAGTCCCGACGGCCACGTTTTCCAGGTCGAATATGCCGGCGAAGCTGTCAAACGAGGTAGGTATCAGGTTTTTGGTTGACAGCGTTGTTACGGTGGCTTATACCTTCAATAGGAACATGTGCTGTTGGTGTCAAGGGTGCCGACGTTGTTGTGCTAGGATGTGAGAAGCGCTCCGCCATGAAGCTGCAAGATACTCGCATCACCCCTTCCAAGATCCAGCTCCTCGATCACCATGTCGCCCTCGCCTTCGCTGGCCTAAATGCGGATGCTCGTATCCTCGTCGACAAAGCCCGATTAGAGGCACAGTCCCATCGTTTGTCAGTCGAAGACCCTGTCACTATCGACTACATTACCAAATATGTCGCTGGCGTCCAGCAACGGTACACACAGGCTGGTGGTGTCCGACCATTCGGCATTAGCACTCTGATTGTTGGCTTCGATAACGGCAGCGATGTCCCTCGACTGTACCAGACTGAGCCCTCCGGCATCTACTCTGCCTGGTGCGTTATTCAAAAATAGTATATGGTGGGTTTTCGAAGCTGATGATTTAACAGGAAGGCAAACGCTATCGGCCGTTCAAGCAAGACTGTTCGCGAGTTCCTCGAGCGAAACTACAAGGAGGATATGGACCGAGAGGCTACCATCCGGCTTGCTATCAAGTCGCTGCTCGAGGTTGTTCAAACCGGAGCCAAGAACATCGAGATTTCTCTCATGGCGCCTGGCGCCACCATCGAAACACTACCTACGTCCGAGATTGAAGGCTACGTCAAGGAAATTGAGCAGGAGAAGCAGGAAGAAGCTGCCAAGAAGAAGACGGGCCGGACCCCTGGAACCGGAAGTGCTGCCATCCTAACCAGATCTCAGGATGACTCCGCTGCGGAATAGAGAGGCGTATGGGAAGAGTTTACATAGACAAGCGCATAAGTCTCTGAAATCGGAGCCCAGTGCCATTGTATTAACACAAGTAATGACGCACGCATTCTCTCAGAACGTATCCCCGTGGAAGTGACAAATCGCTATCTATCCTGAACGCCGTAAATTTCCTCTTCTTGTCTGATATTGTTTTGGATTATCCTAGCTTATCCGCTTCCTCTGTCGGGTCAAAGATGGACCTGAGTCCCTTGGTCTTTTGCCTGTCGTCCTTGAGCATCTTGTTGTCCATTCGTACGTCGTCGCTCTCGATGGAAAGGGCCGCCTGAGGGGTCTTTGCGTCGATAACAAAGTGGTTGTCGCAATGAGGGCAAAACTCGTCGGCCTCCTCGAACTCCTTAACATCTTTTCTGAAGCACTTTCTGCACTTCTTGCACGCGAAGATCATCTCGAAGCTTTCCTTAAGAGGGTGTGACTCTTGTTCGCTGTGGCATTCGACGCAGTCGAACCATTTTCGACCTGTAGTTAAAGTTAGTTTGTAGGGTTAGAGGGCAACAACTTGAAGCCGCGAGGACCGGCTTCGATAAACTTTCGACGTACAACAAGGCGACCGAACGGAAACTTGGGCGTTGAGAATGTGTTTGCTAGACGTTGATTAGTGGCAGGATAATGAATAGGATCGAAGCATACCGTACCACATGGTAGCAAATAAGAAGCGATATCCTGAGGTTCGTGATATGATTTGCGTCGTTGGAAGGAGTGTTTATACTGGCGGTATCTGAGAATAGTTGCAGATCAAGTTCAGATGAATGTCAGTAGAGTTTTAGTGGGGTGTATTAATCAGGCTTTCGGGATGCACTTTAAGGCCCCTGATCACAAGCCACAAGCGCTAAAACTGATTACTAGAGAGCAGGCAGGCAAAGGAACACGGACCCACTTAAACTGTTAGTCATCATCATTCAGTGACGCTCTTTAGCAACGCCTGTTCACATTCCTATGACCTTCACGCTCTCCTTACCTTCTTTATCAGCATTTATACGACAACCGCCAACCACGCCCAGACTGTCCAGAAACTCAACAAATATGCCGCCCAAGAGGAAAGCAGGTGCTGCCGTCCAGGGCGGGGCGAAAGTGGGAAGGTCTTCGCGCATGTCAACACCTGGAGCTGCAACGCCACGAACGATCGATAGCAATGAGGACATGCCGGATGAGGAGGAGGGGCCCATCGACGAGGCCCTGGAACGTGATTTGAACAAAAATATAGACATCTTTTCCCTGGATCGCTACCAGAAGAGACATGCGATTCGGGATCCCCTACCACATATCTTTGGCGACCGTGATTTCTCATACCTGGTCTTGAAGAAAGATCATCAGAACCGACCTCTCTGGATAGACCCTCAGAAAGGCCGCATCATTCTAGAGAGTTTTAATCCACTCGCGGAGCAGGCTCAGGATTTCCTCATCACTATTTCTGAGCCTTTGTCTCGACCGACTTTCATGCACGAATACGCCCTTACAACACACAGCCTGTACGCTGCCGTCTCTGTTGGGCTTTCGCCAGAGGATATTATCAACACACTAGACCGATTTCTTAAGACACCTCTGCCAGATGAGATTCGAAATTTCATTACAAGTTGTACTCAGAGTTACGGCAAGGTGAAGCTGGTTCTCAAGAATACAAAGTACTACGTCGAAAGTCCTGATCCAAACATGCTCCAAACCCTCCTCAAGAACCCCAAAATTGGTCCCCTACGCGTACAAGGAACGGAAGAGATCACAACATCAGTTGCGCCTAAAATTGGCGGCCTCGTCATTCCTGGAACACAGAATGCGGCTGGAGTAAAGCAGGCCAATGGCCTCGGCCAATCAGGCGAACAAGGCAAAGATGGACAACCCGTTCAGGAGGGTGAAGTCTATGCCACGCTCAACGAGGAGGACGACGAGGACCAGGAAGTGACGCATTCTTTTGAGATTGCGGACAAGGACGTTGAAACAGTACAGAAAGAATGCTTGAATCTAGGATACCCAGTTCTGGAGGAGTATGACTTTCGGAGAGATGAAGCCAACGCGAATCTGGATATCGATCTGAAGCCTGGTACTCAAATTCGTCCTTACCAGGAAAAAAGCTTGAGTAAGATGTTTGGCAACGGCCGAGCCAAGAGTGGACTAATCGTCTTGCCCTGTGGTGCTGGAAAGACGCTTGTGGGTATTACAGCAGCCTGCACTATCAAGAAGGGTGTCATTGTCCTCTGCACAAGTTCTATGTCAGTCGTGCAATGGAGGAATGAATTTTTGAAGTGGTCCAACATCAATCCCGATGACATTGTTGCATTCACATCCGATTCCAAGAACAACGTCTTTACTGGAAGCACCGGCATTATCGTCACAACATATGCAATGGTCACACAATCGCGAGCCCGATCTTACGATGCGGAGAAGATGATGAAGTTCTTGACAGGTCGAGAATGGGGTCTGATGCTGTTGGACGAGGTGCACGTTGTGCCTGCTAACATTTTTCGAAAAGTCACGTCTTCGATCAAGACTCATTCGAAGCTTGGTCTCACAGCAACACTCCTTAGAGAAGACGACAAGATTTCAGACTTGAATTTCCTTATTGGACCAAAGCTCTTCGAAGCCAATTGGATGGAGCTTTCAAAGCAAGGACACATTGCTAGAGTTCAGTGTGCAGAAGTATGGTGCCCGATGCCCACAGAGTTCTACGACCAGTACCTCAAAGCACCAAGCCGAAAGAAGGGTTTGCTGTACATCATGAACCCTCGGAAGTTTCAAGCTTGTCAATATCTCATTAACTATCACGAATCAAGAGGAGACAAGATTATCGTATTTTCGGATAACGTGTATGCGCTCAAGGCGTATGCGCTGAAACTTCAAAAAGCGTTTATCTACGGTGGCACTGGTCAAGCAGAACGTCTGCAAGTGTTGGAGAATTTTCAGCACAACCCAAATGTTAACACGCTCTTTCTATCAAAGATTGGAGACACGTCCCTCGACTTGCCTGAGGCTACCTGCCTCATCCAAATTTCATCACACTATGGTTCACGCCGCCAGGAAGCGCAGCGTTTAGGACGAATTCTACGAGCCAAAAGACGTAATGACGAGGGCTTTAATGCCTTTTTCTACTCTCTGGTGTCAAAGGATACGCAAGAGATGTATTTTTCTTCCAAACGTCAAGCTTTCCTTGTGGATCAGGGATATGCTTTCAAGGTCATTACACAGTTAGCAAATATCGAGAAGACGCCTGGGCTAGCATTTGCAGATGTCTCGGAGCGACGTGAACTGTTGCAAAAGGTTCTTGTAGAGAATGAGAGCATGGAGGAGGATGACCCGAACGATGACATGTTCCATCAGGGTACTATGGGGCGCAAGAAGAAGAAGGGAGCTCGACGAACAGCGGGAACTCTCGGCGAGCTCAGTGGTGGCCAGGACATGGCGTATATCGAGCAGAATAAGAAGTTATCGGCAAAGCGGAAGAAGGCGGACAGCAATGCCTTCTTCAAGAAGATTGGACGCGAGAATGCCAGGCGTGCAGCAGCACAGTAATCGAAAGTGAGTTGGAATCGGAACAATAGAGGTGGAGGTACATTGGATGAGCCAAAGGATGATAAGCCGGGGGATCGGAATCACGGGTAAACACAAGTCGGCGTATGTATAAGAGTACGCAGATGCGGAACGCATACTAGTAATGCTTTCAGGGCGCAAAGACGGGGAAGACTCGGCGTTCAGGAAAAAGTACAACACGGCCATAGCCGATCAGATTGAAGGCACTATTTAATCATGTTTCTGACAGCAACCAAGCGATGACTCACTGGAGCGAATTGACTGACTAGGTATTGATGTGTTGAGATGATGGCAATGCATGAGCTGAGAGATCCATGTGACAGGGGAATGTAGGGCAAGATAAGAAGACTGGCCAACAGCCAGAATCGATCCAAATCAGATCCCGTAACGGAATAGGCATCAGAGGGTGACATGCATCACACCACATATCAATGTGTGACACGGCTTCAAAATATGATGCCATATGAAGGGTGGTTTACGAAAGGTAGTGAGCCAAAGGTCAACGGCCACATACGACCTCACCAATGGACATTATCCACAGATACCTACAGTAGCGGCCTCGCTGCTATTTTAGAGTCCAGCTGGGGGGTTCTTTAAACTAGTGCCGCCTTAGTTTCCGGGGAGAAAAGCTTGGCAGTACTAGGGCTTGGATATCTGTTCCTGGTTGCAACCTCATACGAAGAATTGGTGATGCTTATTCTGACTGCAATCTCTCATGTATTTTGGTGTTGTGATGTTTTCTAATCAGTACTATCCTGATTTGACGGTGTGACGTGGGCGTGACATGGTGCAGTCTAGATTTGTGACTTACTCATATCTCATTTGCATGACTCTTTGCATGACCTGCTTGGAAAGAAGCTGCAGGATAGGCATTGACCTGTTCGTAAGCAGTGTCAGTCATCACGGAAGTTTGGTTAAATTAATGGTTTCATTCTTCCGGAAACCCCATTGATCGTTATGCAGCACCCTCGTACACGCATGCAGAGACCTTTGTCTCAGCCGCGGGAGTGTTGAGTAACGCGCGAACGGAGGTATCGGGTGGTGGTCTGTGGACATGCGATTGAAGAGCGGTGACATCACACTGTTGGAGGATGTCGGAAGGGCGGAGCGGTAGTCACGAGAGGATAGGCATCGCATTTGAATATGGTGATCACAGCATGATCATTGTGGTATCGAACAGAGGGGAGACTTCCCATCTCCTCGGCTGTGGTAGTAACCAATGGATCACGATCGATAGCTCGCTATACCTTTTCGCCTATTCTCGTGAGAAACGGCCCTAATATTTGAGGCTGGGCCTGCCGGCAAAGCCCCTTTTAAATGGGTGACTTATTTAGCTTGCCCAGCCCCAGCAATTGTCGCATGTGGTTGTCGGCCTACCTATACTGGCTTTGACTGGTTTGTTTCCAATTATCGAGTCTCAAAATCCCCTTTCCATTGTCCCTTTGTTTGACTCGAGCAAAGCACGTGTCAGTGGTTTCACCAGGTAACTAGAACCATCTCTCAGATCTCCGAATTTTCTTGGCTTCCATGGAATTGGAGATTGCTTGGGGGACGTGCCATTGGCCCGATTATAGTGCAACACACAGACAACAGACAAGGACAGGCTTTTGTCAAGCCAACGCCCGCAGGGGGCTTGAAATAATGTCCTCCGTGTACAAAGAAACTTGAGGTAATGAATCAGCGAAGAAATTTATCAAGTCCAAAGGATTGCCAGTTTACATTGAACTAACTGGTGCCAACATTCCTGCCATTAGGATTGAGATCCCAAGTTTCCTGGATTGCGCCGAGTCCAATGCTTCACCGGGCCCGAAAATCGCGGTGACGTTGGCGTGTGGTATGAACACGATGATCTTCAGTAGCCAGGGTGGAAAAAAGGTATTTAGTACCTAGTATTATCTGGCGACCTCATCTAGAAAAACAAAAGACTGGCATCATTAGTGCCTGATCAGATGAGACCCTGAATGAAGAATTCCCAACCAGTTGTTGATGCGTCGCGGGATCAGCGGTGTTTTAACGGTTTCTGCCACCCTTTCCGCTCCGCTGTCCGTAAACAGACGGGCGCTCTGGATGAGGATTTTTACCTTATGTTCCTGGTGGCTTTTCTCCCACTGATACGTACTGGTTTCCGCACTGCTCCGCCGTCTCCTTCCAGCCTGAACTCAGCTTCAAGATGGAGCCACTAATGTAAAGACCAGACGGGAGGACGCCTACCGGTGCCGGGGAACATGTCCCGCGCAGTGGATTCCTCAGTCT